TTTTTTTGGGGGGGGGGGTTTGTAGGGCACAATGTGTGCTCACAGAAAGACAGAGAGAGACAGAAAGTGAGAAATCACCCTCCAAGGGGATGGCCGCACCACAGTCCCTCCTCCTCCATTCTCTTCTCAGAATCTTGGGCATGCATGCATATGCGCCCAGTGTGAGTTTAAGCCACCGGGGTCTGGGACTCGAACCGTGGTCAACTACATGGGAGTCCAGTGACCTAACCATTATGCAATCTGCTGGTCCTGAGCACTCTCACTCTATCTGCAGGTGTCCCTGTCTTGTTCCCTGCAGACTGCCTGGGGGCCAGCACGCCCTGCTTCTTCCAGCCCCAACTCCCTGTCTGACACATGTGGCCATGGGACTGCAGAACTTTGGACGCTGAGCTGTGGCTTTGCTCTCCTCTTCCTCTCGGAATGAGGAGACAGAACCACTGCTCTGATGCATCTGAGCAGGACGTGCAATTGTTCCTTGTGTTGTTTCCTCCATGTCAGAGGCAAATTCTGCATGGAAGAGAGACTAGTGCAGAGCAGAGGGCATGTCACATTCCGGAGGGGAGGTGGGCCCTTTGACTCGAAAGGGTCTGGGCAGCTGTTCTGTGCTGGCCAGGAGGGAGGACCTGCCAGTCTCACCCTGAGGCCTGTCCTGTGTCTGAGATCAGGGCTGTCTTAGTTTTTCCATGTCGTAGCTCTGGGCAGAAAAAGCCTGCCTTCTCAGGCCACCTCCCCTTTAAGTGTGTGTCCACCCAGAACTGACCAAATCCACTGCAGCTTGCCTTTGAGAGTGGAAGACACACTGAGATAGTCTCCAAAACATTTTAAATCGAAGGAAAGTCAAAAGTAGTCACAGCTCACACATCAGGGAAGTCATGGTGCAACCCAGGTAAGAGGTAAGAGTGAAAAATGTGGATGACTGGTAGCCAAGTGTCCGGTGAACCAGCTCCAAGAGAAGGACGAGGGCGAGTTCTCTTCCTACAGGCCAGCAAGAGGGAGTGTGGCAGGCCCCTTCCTGAGTCTGTGCTGGAATCACATGAGGTTCCCATGACAAAGCAGAATTTGAAGCCAGCAGAATTTACTTGGCTCTGGCCTCTGGAAGCCTGGAAGGGCTGTGAGACCTGCATTTCTGAGGGCTCCTGCAGAGAGCGAGGTGGTATATGTGCCCAGGCTGCTGGGTCCAACAGTGTCGCCTCCTCCTCGGGTCTCAGTTATGCTATACATGGGCCATGCCCCTTCCTCCCGACAGGATGTCATGGGATTCCTTTCTGTGCAGGGTTTGCCGACCTGCCTCATGGCAGCCCCCAGGACATGCACCTGGAGGAAAGCTCAGGCACGGGCGCTGGGCAGGCAGGGCTGCAGGCCACACAGCCACCGCCGCAGGCTCCCGAGTTCGTCCTCTCTGAGAGGTAAGCCTCAGGAGCCCAGGCTGGGACCATGCCTCCCATGGCTGGAAGGTGGTTTTGGGAACCTTAGGCCAGGCTGACCAGGGTATGTGTCCTGTGAGGGCAAAATTATACAGGACATGTGAGAGGGCAGCCTCCAGGGCATGTGCTCTGCTTGCTGGAATGGCCACCTGTCAGGAACTGGGCTTGCTTTTCCACTTACAGCTGGGAGCCAAGGTAGGGCAGAGGCTGACACGGCCTCTCCGCGTGGCAGCCTCAGCCCTTCCTTTCGTCCCTCCTGCCCACCCTCGCCATGTTAGGAGCCCTTTCATGTAGACATGTGTTTGATGTGCCTGGAGCCCTCCCCTGTAGACCTGTGTTGGCCATGTCAGGAGCTCCCCATATAGACCTGTGTTGGCTGTGTCAGGCAGGAGCCCCCTCATGTTGACCTGCGTTGGCCATGTTAGGAGCCCTCCCATGTAGATGTGCGTTTGCCATGTCAGGAGCCCTCCCATGTAGATGTGTGTTGGCCATGTCAGGAGCCCCCCATGTAGATGTGTGTTTGCCATGTCAGGACCCCTCCCATGTAGATGTGTGATGGCTGTGTCAGGAGCCCTCCCATGTAGATGTATGATGGCCATGTCAGGAGCCCTCCCCATGTAGACCTGTATTGGCCATGTTAGAAGCTCCCTATGTCGACGTGTGTTGGCCATGTCAGGAGCCCTCCCCATGTAGACCTGAGTTGGCTGTGTCAGGAGCTCCCCATGTAGAGCTTCCCATGTAGCTTCCCATGACCATGTGTTGGCCGTGTCAGGAAAGAGAGGCTCCTTTGTAACCTCTCTTTCTTCATGTCCCTGCTCACTGGCTCCTATCTGTGGATGCCCTCTGCCTTGCTTTGAGTGGCACTCTACCCAACTCCCCGCACAGCCCAGGGCCCTGCAAGGCTCTGCTCTCAGCAGTGAGTATCAGACACTGTCGCAAGTGCCTGATGAGCAGAACCCCTGGATCGACAGTACTGCCCACTGCCCCCCTGAGACAGCTTATGCTGACCCCATCCCTTTTCCAGCCCTGTGGAGCTGGCACCAGCCCCATCTGTCTACCCTGGCCCTGTGTCTGCCATGGAGCTGAGCCAGCCCCTGCCTTCTCACCAGGTGAGGCCATCCTGCAAGCACCATGTGTTTTTCTCTTAATTTCTGGATCCACAGCTCATAGCACTGAGTGGGGCTTGGCTAGTGCATAAACCAGGTGAAGATGAGCAGGGCAGGGATGACTCGTGGCCACACAGTAGACCAGGAGCTGTAATGGGGGTACCCTGGGGCCACACGGGTGAGTGGGTATGTGTGGGGTCTGGGGTGCCAGGTAGGGAGGCAGGTCTCAGAGCCTGCCAGGGGCGCGTCTGTGTAATGCTGTGTTAAACTTTCCAGGTGCAGTGGCCCGGCAGCCAGGCCTCCAGTGATGCCTTCTGGGGGGCCAGGATGCTCCTCGAGTTTTCAGGGGGCAGCCTGGGCTGAGTGTCTCCTGAACGCCAGACAAGCACTTGTGGTGGAGCAGGAGCAGGTAGTTCAGCCATTGATACAGCAGGACAGAGCTTCAACCTGAATACAAAACAGAGGTCCCCAGAGATCTCTGAGGGCTGCTGCCCCAAGTGGAGGCTTTCTCAGCCCAGTGAGAGTTTGCATGTTGGTTGGGAGCTCTCTGTACTGAAGGAGACATTAGGACGTGTTTAAGGTCAGAAGTCAAGGCAGGTCTGTTCCCTTAGGCAGTGATAGACCAAGCAGAGCTCCTGGCCGTGTGCAGTGAAGCCCTTCTAGAGAGGAAGGTGCGACTGCCCGCTGCCCGCCCAGCCTCTCTGCTGCTCTCCCCACGCAGCATTCGGAGATTCCCATTGTGAAGGCTTTTTCCTTGAGTTCTGAGAGACAAACCTGATTGCGGATGGCCCAGGCACAAGGAATCAGGCTTTCAGATTTTAATTTGTTGTGTTTGTGAAGCAATGTTGTATGTAATTAAAGTTTAATGTTTTTGACACCCCCCCCCTTTTTTTTAAGAGGAGGACAACACATTTAATTTTATTTCAATCAAATCATAACCTTTTCTGTTCCAACTGCTGCAAAGTGCATCTACAATTTTCCATTACAGATCCACTTTAAAAGGTTTCCTGTGACATTACAGCAAGCCTCTTTCTCCAGAGTTTTAGTCCTGAATTCTTCCTCAAATGAAAACTCCATTTCAGTAAATGATAAACCAGACACTTAAAAGGACAGCCAAGAAGTCTTCCAACAATTTATTAGAAAGAATGTAGACATTAAAAAAAATCCCCGCTGTCATGAACATAAATTGAGGTTTTTCAGCCCTAGTATAAGCTGAATCAAAAGAAGAAGAAAAATCCAATAGTGTATTAACATTTTTTTTCCCACTCATTTGCCATACTGACAGTGTAAATACAAATCTGGTCTAAATGTACAGACTCTCAAGCAACAATGTACAGTTTTCTTTATCCTCCATGCTAAGAGATGTAAAAGCTTAAGGGCCAAACAATACCAAATGTATAGGCTTCAAAAACCATCTAAGTAGGGCATTTGCTTGTTAGCTAAGATACATCTAGGAACACTGACAAGTAATCACTTACATACAGTAATGTGAAGTAAATTTTTTGAAAAATAAACTTCAATAGAACAATCTTTAAAGATACACCAGAGGAAGATGTGGTTACGTTTCAGGTATCAGCCAATTTTTGTTTCATCCTCTTTGAATCCATGTTCTAAAATCTAAAATTTAGTTCTCTTTCCC